ATATATTTGACTATCTTTTTGTTTTTTTGTATTAAACAAACAAGACAAGACAAGGATATATTTTACTATCTTTTTGTTGTGAAGACTAAGGATTAAGTCCTTGTCTTGTTACGGGTCGGGAATTAACTCAAGAGACTAATTCGGGAACCCTTCAATGAGACCCAAGGTTGGCTTCAACATATATATATATATATATATATAAATTAATCAAGTTTAAGAAAATTACTTTATTCTGAGTAAAAATTTAACTATATATTTAGTTTAAAAAAACTAATAGAATGAGAGAGAAGGGAAGTGAAGGAATTAAAATAAAAAAAAATAAAGTAAACAATTCCACTCCCTTCCCCTCCTCTCCCTTTCAAATTTTTTGTTAATAAAATAGACAAATTTTGGCTACTCCCATCCCATTCTCTTAAAACAAATATATTGTAAAACTTTTTTAATGTGTAATAATAATTATTTTTTAGTTAAATTATAAAAATAAAGTAAACTTACTAAACTTTTATAAAAGTTAAGAATAACTAAATTTTAATACCCAAATTTCCTTTATGATAGTAAAGAATCAAGGAATATTTATTCTTTAAAAAATAAAAATAATATATATTCTTCATTAATCTTTTAATTTTATAGAAAATGATCAACATGCTTAACTACTCCTAACTTTCTAAATAAATTTATCAAATTTAACTTATTTTTATAATTTGAGCAAAGAATACTTGGTCCCAGCTTAAAGACTTCTCTTAGATCCAGACTTGCATTTAAACGTAGCCATGGATTTTAGAATGAAAACGTGATATTTTTTCTACACATAATCTAGCTAGTCTCGTCAACGCATGAATGGAGACGAAGCTTCCTCTTCAATGGATGCTTTCTTAAGTTCATCTATATAGATATAACTTCCACGATTTTAGAATTCAGAAATTTTTTCTACCGTGTGAACTGCTTGAGCCTCGACCATGGCCGGCAATAGAGCCATAACGCTGGAGGAGATCATGAACGAATCAGTCGACTTGGTACTCCCTCTCTCTTGCTGTAGCTAGCTCCTTATTTGTTTTTCTTGATTTGCATATACGTATAACAAGGTAAGGAATTGAGCATGTGTTTTGTTGCTGAGAAAATGGAGTTAAAAAAGAAAAGTTATTGAGGATTCGTATGTCTTGAAAGCCTTTTAAGAATTTTCTGGTTTTTTGAAAGTTGAAAATTTGGGAATAAGGCTGGCTGATGAGGCTTTTCAATTATTTTCAACATGACTTAATTTTTGTAAAAAAGTCTTCCTAGCCATAACTCCCCTTCTGGCCTTTCCACGGCCTTTTCCTAGCAACCAAACAAAGCATCTATGACTTTTTCGAATATGAATTGCAACAAATTTCCCTTTTATAGTACTACATTTATAGTTGCTTAATTTACGTAGTTTTCACTTTCATCTCAAAGGAGAAAATATGGATCGATTTTTGCCAAAATTAGGAAAGGATTGATAAATAAGAGCAAGGTTTAAATCTTGAGGCGGCTACTATTTCGCCTATGATTATGCAGCCGCGAAGGTACAGGTGGAAGTGTGAATATAAGCACCGAACCAAGTGGAACAAGTGAGTTGGCATTGGCAAGGCTACGGCCCCATGGCATCTTTGAGTAACGTAGTTGACAAGGGAATCATTATTAAATTGGCTTATAAAATAGGGTTCGGATGATGAAATTGGCTTCTTTGCCTGAATATTTATTTGACTAAGAAGTTGCTAATTGTTTTCAGGAACAGATACCTGTAGAGGAAGTGTTGGAGCAGCTGAAATGTACCAGGGCTGGACTAACTTCAGAGGAAGGAGCCCGTCGACTCCAAGTTTTTGGACCAAACAAACTAGAAGAGAAAAAGGTTTGATTCATTACCTTTACTGTATGTGGCTTCCTTTATTTTGCATTCTTCCATATGACAATGTGATGTTTTGCAAACAGGAGAGCAAGATTGTCAAGTTTTTGCGTTATACGTGGAACCCTTTGTCATGGGTGGAAGCTGTTGCTATCATGACTATTGTCATGGCAAATGGACTTAGGGGATCTACAGACTGGCTGGACTTTGTCGGTATCGTTGGGTTGTTGCTGATTAACTCTACCATCAGATTTATAGAAGAAAATAAAGCTGGTAATGCTGCAGCAGCCCTCATGGCTGGTCTTGCTCCCAAAACTAAGGTGAAAACATAGGCTCTTCTTTGTTTGAATATATTCATCTTATTTTTGTTCCTTTAACTTTGGTTTCAGTTTTTAATTTTCTTCTTCTGGGACAACCTGTAGGTCTTAAGAGATGGTAGATGGAGTGAACAAGATGCTGCAATTCTGGTGCCAGGGGACATAATCACCATTAAATTGGGAGACATAATTCCTGCAGATGCTCGTCTTCTTGAGGGTGATCCTTTAAAGATTGATCAATCTGCTCTCACTGGAGAATCTCTTCCTGTCACTAAAAGCCCCTCAGATGAAGTGTTTTCTGGTTCCATATGTAAACAGGGTGAAATAGAAGCAGTTGTTATTGCAACGGGTGTGCACTCGTTTTTGGGTAAAGCTGAGCATTTAGTAGACAGCACCAATCAAGTTGGGCATTTTCAGAAGGTTCTCACAGCCATTGGTAATTTCTGTATTTGTTCAATTTTTGTTGGAATGTTCATTGAGGCGGTTGTCATGTTCGGGATCCAGCACCGCATGTTCAGGGCTGGAATTGACAATTTACTAGTTCTCTTGATTGGAGGGATCCCGATTGCCATGCCAACCATGTTATCTGTCACCATGGCTATTGGTTCTCAGAGGCTCTCTCAGCAAGGTGCTATTACCAAGAGAAGGACAGCCATAGAGGAAATGGCATGCATGGATGTTCTCTGCTGTGACAAGACAGGGACTCTGACCCTGAACAAACTGACTGTTGATAGAAACCTGATTAAAGTGTTTCTAAAGGGGATAGGGGTGGACCAAGTTATCCTTTATGCAGCTAGAGCTTCAAGAACTGAAGATCAGGATGCCGTTGATGCGGCCATTGTTGGAATGCTTGCAGATCCCAAAGAGGTATACTTTCTTGCTCTTTCTCCTCTCTTGTTAGGTAGTAGATTTGAGGATTTCTACATCATTTTAATTATTAATTGGCCAGGCACGAGCTGGTATTAGGGAGGTTCATTTCCTTGCATTCAATCCTGTAGACAAAAGAACTGCTCTTACCTACATTGATTCTTATGGAAACTGGCATCGGGCTAGCAAAGGTGCCCCTGAGCAGGTATCTGTGATTTTCCTCATGCTGGTATATCCAGTTAGAAAGTTGTAAGGAAGTAACACCTATCCATGTGTTTTCATTGTCCTGCGACAGATATTGCACCTCTGCAACTCCAAGGGAGATGTTCGGGAAAAGGTTCATGCAGCAATTGACCTGTTTGCTGAACGTGGACTTCGATCATTAGCAGTGGCAATACAGGTTTGCAACTGTTCACATTGTTAACATCCGTTCATTAAGTAAATTGAGCTAATGATGTTTCTGTTTTCTTTCTCTTCTTTTTATTTTTTATTTTTTTTAACTTCTTAATTTTTGCAGGAAATACCTGAGAAGACAAAAGATAGTTCAGGGGAACCATGGCAGCTTATTGGTTTGTTGCCTCTATTTGATCCTCCAAGGCATGACAGTGCTGAAACCATTATAATGGCTCAAATCCTTGGCGTGAATGTGAAGATGATTACTGGTGAGACAAATATTTTACTTAGTTTTAGTTCAAAAAGTTTATTTATTTATTCTAAATTGATGATTACCTCGTTCCTTACGTTATACACACCTTGTTTTATTATTTAGGTGATCAGCTTGCCATCGCCAAAGAAACTGGGAGGAGGCTTGGAATGGCAACGAACATGCACCCTTCTTCCTCCCTGCTTTTTGAAGATAAGGATGCTTCAATTGCTGCTGCTTTCCCTATAAATGAGTTCATTGAGACGGTAGATGGATTTGCTGGAGTACTACCAGGTGGTTTAATATATTTGTAAATTTTCTACAAAAACATGTACCTTTTTTTCTTTCATTCTAATTAAAGAAACCACTAATGACTTAATAACATCAAGTTTCCATAAAAAGTAATGATATTACTTGATTTTTGTCAAACTCACTGTTGCCTTCCGGTATAATAGTTCTTGGATTTTGTCACTTGTATGCATTTTAAAATTTTTTTGCTATTGGCCATCCACCTTTCAAGTTACTACCCTGGTTCCTCTTTCTAACAATTTTTTTCTGCCTATGCTAGAGCACAAATATGAAATTGTTAAGAGGCTGCAAGAGAGGAAACATATCTGTGGTATGACTGGAGATGGTGATGCACCTGCTTTGAAGAAGGCTGATAT